ATTGGACAATTCAGACCTAAGCATTAATCGAGAAGCGATGGGGACGACGGAACCCGTGAATGCAGAGGATTCTATTGAAAACGAATCCTAATGATTTATCGGGTAGGATGGCGGAACAAACCAGAGACCACTTCATTTCTTTTTATTCTGATTCTGATAGGTCATGAGTTAACCCGACAACTGAACTAGATATTGAAAGAGTAAATATTCGCCCGCGAAAATTTTATTTTCATTTTATTTGATTGTTAAATTTTTGTCGATCTGAATCTGATATGAATATGATAAAAAACAAAGATTCGTTATAACATTATAACAAAACCAAGATAAGACATTATCTAGAAATAGAATCCGCGTTCAATTCCTTATATATATCCAATATATATACAAACAAGATATAAAAATACAAACAAGATATAAAAATTTCTAATAGATCAGATAAAATCTCAAAGCAAAGAATCCCAAGATTCAATCTATTATTCATTAACTACCTGTATATCTTAAGAATAAAATATTTTTTTAGTCATTTTTTTTTTTCGCGAGGAGCTGGATGAGAAGAAACTCTCATGTCCAGTTCTGTAGTAGAGATGGAATTCATAAACAACCATCAACTATAACCCAAAAAGAACCAGATTTCGTAAACAACATAGAGGAAGAATGAAAGGAATATCTTATCGAGGTAATCGCATTTGTTTCGGTAGATATGCTCTTCAAGCACTTGAACCCGCTTGGATTACATCTAGACAAATAGAAGCGGGGCGCCGCGCAATGACACGAAATGTACGCCGTGGTGGAAAAATATGGGTACGTATATTTCCAGATAAACCAGTTACGGTAAGACCTACAGAAACACGTATGGGTTCGGGGAAAGGATCTCCGGAGTATTGGGTAGCTGTCGTTAAACCGGGCAGAATACTTTATGAAATGAGCGGAGTAGCCGAAAATATAGCCAGAAAGGCTATTTCAATAGCGGCGTCCAAAATGCCTATAAAAACTCAATTCATTATTTCAGGATAGGAATATAGAACCAAAGGAAAGAAGTCTTGTCTTGGGAATCAAAAAAAAAATTGCAGGTTTCCTTTTTTTTGACAAACAATATTTCTTTTTTTCTTCGTCCTTTGTTACATTGAAAGAAGAGATTTAAAAAATGATTCAACCTCAGACCCATTTGAATGTAGCAGATAACAGCGGGGCCCGAGAATTGATGTGTATTCGAGTCATAGGAGCTAGTAATCGCCGATATGCTCATATTGGTGACGTTATTGTTGCTGTGATCAAGGAAGCAGTACCAAATACACCTCTAGAAAGATCAGAAGTGATCAGAGCTGTAATTGTACGTACTTCTAAAGAACTCAAACGTGACAACGGGATGATAATACGATATGATGACAATGCTGCAGTTGTCATTGATCAAGAAGGAAATCCAAAAGGAACTCGAATTTTTGGTGCGATCGCCCGGGAATTGAGACAGTTAAATTTCACTAAAATAGTTTCATTAGCTCCTGAGGTATTATAAGACGAGACCCCAATATAGTTATAGTATTTAAATTAGAGTATTTAAATGACATAGATTAATTAGTAGATTGTGTCTCACGTATATACCTTTACTAAGTAAAAAAGTAAAAAAAAAAAGAACACGTTGGTTATATCAAAATTCGGGAGCAAGAATAATTTTAGTTTACAATGGGTAAGGACACTATTGCTGACATAATAACCTCTATACGAAATGCTGACATGAATAGAAAAGGAACGATTCGAATAGGATCTACTAACATCACTGAAAACATCGTCAAAATACTTTTACGAGAAGGTTTTATCGATAACGTAAGGAAACATCGGGAGCGCAACAAATATTTTTTGGTTTTAACCCTACGACATAGAAGGAATAGGAAAGGACCACATAGAACTATTTTAAATTTACGACGGATAAGTCGACCGGGTCTACGAATCTATTCTAACTATCAACAAATTCCTAGAATTTTAGGCGGGATGGGGATTGTAATTCTTTCTACTTCTCGGGGTATAATGACAGACCGGGAGGCTCGACTAGAAGGAATCGGTGGAGAAATTTTGTGTTATATATGGTAATGTGGCCGATATACGAATTGTATCCGAAACTTTCCATTTGTGATGTGAAAAAAAAAGAAAAAAGCACGGGTTGTCTAATAGAACTCCTCCTGCCCTACCGTAGTTGATACGTTAAGGAAGTTTTACAAAGAACAAAAAATGGATTCATGGAGGTTTAATTAGTGAATCACTCCCATTCCGAATTCCTTTAGATAATGAAGATCTGATTCTAGGTTATGTTTCAGGAGAGTTTTATACGTATACCAACGTGGGATAGAGTCAACAAAAGTGAAGTAAGTGCTTATGATTCAACCAGGGGGCGTATAACTTATAGACTCCGCAACAAGGATTCGAACGATTAGGTAGTTTTTTCAACTTCAAGATTCCTTTCGGGGGGATCCAATTCAAGGTTCAAAAATTTCAAGAAACTTATTTTCTTCCAATAAGTGGATTCGGAAAACTTTAAGGAATAACAACTATGAAAATAAGGGCTTCCGTTCGTAAAATTTGTGAAAAATGTCGACTAATCCGTAGGAGGGGACGAATTATCGTAATTTGTTTTAACCCGAGACATAAACAAAGACAAGGATAATCTTTCTAGTCTAAAAAGAACTCCTTAAAGAAAAGAAACTAATCTTAAAGAAAGCGATAAACAAATAAAAATAGAAGATCTGTTTTGACATGAAATGGATATATCCATATATCTCTGACTTATCTTTATGAAATGATAAAATATGGCAAAACCTATACCAAAAGTTGGTTCACGTAGGAGTGGGCGCAGTAGTGCACGGAAAAGCACACGTAGAATACCAAAAGGAGTTATTCATGTTCAAGCAAGTTTCAACAATACCATTGTTACTGTTACAGATGTACGAGGTCGGGTAATTTCTTGGTCCTCCGCCGGTACTTGTGGATTCAAGGGTACAAGAAGGGGGACCCCTTTTGCTGCTCAAACCGCAGCGGGAAATGCTATTCGAGCAGTAGTAGACCAAGGTATGCAACGAGCAGAAGTTATGATAAAGGGTCCTGGTCTCGGAAGAGATGCAGCATTACGAGCTATTCGTAGAAGTGGTATACTATTAAGTTTCGTACGGGATGTAACCCCTATGCCACATAATGGCTGTAGACCCCCTAAAAAAAGACGTGTGTAGAAATAAACACTAAAGAGATTTCAAGAGAAATAAATGATTCAATGATCTGATCAAATAATATTACTATGGTTCGAGAGAAAGTAAAAGTCTCTACTCGGACACTACAGTGGAAGTGCGTTGAATCAAGAACAGATAGTAAGCGTCTTTATTATGGGCGCTTTATTCTGTCTCCACTTATGAAAGGCCAAGCCGACACAATAGGCATTGCGATGCGAAGAGCTTTACTTGGAGAAATAGAAGGAACATGCATTACACGTGCAAAATCTGAGAAAATACCACACGAATATTCTACCATAGTAGGTATTCAAGAATCAGTCCATGAAATTTTCATGAATTTGAAAGAAATTGTATTGAGAGGTAATTTGTATGGAACTCATAACGCCTTTATTTGTGCCAAAGGTCCCGGATATGTAACTGCTCAAGACATCATCTTACCACCTTCTGTGGAAATCGTTGATAATACACAGCATATAGCCAGCCTAACCGAACCAATTGATTTGTGTATTGGATTACAAATCGAGAGAAATAGAGGATACGGTATAAAAACGCCAAAGAACTTTCACGACGGAAGTTATCCTATAGATGCTGTATTCATGCCTGTTCGAAATGCGAATCATAGTATTCATTGTTATGGGAATGATAATGAAAAACAGGAGATACTTTTTCTAGAAATATGGACAAATGGAAGTTTAACTCCAAAAGAAGCACTTCACGAAGCCTCTCGCAATTTGATTGATTTATTTATTCCTTTTCTACATGCGGAAGAAGAAAACTTACATTTAGAAAACAATCAAGACAACGTTACTTTACCTTTTTTTCCGTTTCATGATAGATTAGCTAAACTAAGAAAAAAGAAAAAAGAAATAGCATTGAAATCTATTTTTATTGACCAATCAGAACTGCCCCCCAGGATCTATAATTGTCTCAAAAAGTCCAATATACATACATTATTGGACCTTTTGAATAACAGTCGAGAGGACCTTATGAAAATTGAACACTTTCGCATAGAAGATGTAAAACAAATATTGGGCATTCTAGAAAAAAAGTAGAAAAGCATTATCGAAATTGATTTACAAAAATTTTTAATCCATTAATCCATTTAATCCACATTTAATAATCCACATTTAATCCATTTTCGTTTTTTTTTTTACTTTAGAAAAAAAAATGAAAATGGATTTTGAACCTTCAGCACAATCCATAGATTTGGACCAGAATTGAATAAATGTATCTAGGGAGAATTCACTTTGGCTTTGAAGTGACTACTCCCTAGATACGTACATCATAATATATTTTTTTTTATTGAATCAATTTAAAAAAGACCTAAAGTTAGGGATTTATCAATCGGTAATGTTGCTCCAATACCCAACCAAAGGGCTACTGCAGTACCAATCAAAAAAACGGTTGTCGCTACTGGACGACGAAATGGATTTTGGAATTTATTAACATTTTCCAAAAAAGGTACTGTTAATAATCCCGCGGGTACTGAAACCATTAAAAGAACACCCAATAACTTGTTAGGTACTGTACGAAGTATTTGAAATACAGGAAAGAAATACCATTCAGGTAATATTTCCAAAGGAGTTGCAAATGGATCCGCGGGTTCACCAATCATTGAAGGTTCTAGAACCGCTAAGCCCACGTTACAAGCAATAGTACCGAGAATTACTACTGGAAAAATATATAAAAGATCATTGGGCCATGCGGGTTCCCCATAATAATTATGACCCATACCTTTAGCTAATTTAGCTCTTAATACAGGATCGTTCAAGTCAGGTTTTTTTGTTATTAGGATAGGTGAATTTTTCTAAATCCATCCCCCGAAGGAACCGGACATGATAATTTTTCATCATCCGGCTCAAGCAAAAGTCAATCGAATAAAATGGATACAAACGGATACCTATAAAATAAATCTATATGTTATCCCCACATATATGAATGATTCCCTATGTAAGAAAAAAGTTACCCGATTCCATTTTACGAAGTTGCAGCTATACATTCCAAGGAATTTCATTTTTACAGGTAAATGCTCAATACCCAAGTAGGCGTACAAAGTTGATCGTGATCAAGTGCTTTCTGGGTCGTCTTCGGCCTTGCGATTCGCCTTTATCCAACAAAAAATATATCGAGATTTTTTACATACAAAGGATTTACTTGTTACTAATATAGTCTAGCCTTTGGCTCTTCTTTAGATCCCTTGTTTCACTCCGATAGTATAATAAAATCGGGTCGATGCAGAAGAAATGAATGCATTTTCATACTATTAAGATAAGAAAGTAAAAAAAAATAACTAAAATCTAATTTGGGTTATGCCAAATCACTTATTCTACTGGATCTTACGGAGCCCTGTTTATACACAACATCGTCAGGTCTGATCATAGAAAGATTCTCTTCAAGCGAACCAGCCTATCCTTTGTATGGGGCTTACACGGTGGTTGGAACAAAGACACATTTGGTTGTGAATTCCAATGTAGCAGATAAAGGCATATTTCTGCACGGCCCAATCAATAGTTCAAGTCACACACTCCCATAATCCATTTTCTCTTCGGGAAATTCCCTTCAACTATTCATGTCATATCAAATAAATAATAGAATATTGTGGAGTTGAAAGGAAATATCCAAATACATGTCTTATTTTTTTTTTTTCAATAATCCATATTTGTAGCAATGAAATACTATTGTTCCTCCCCCAAGTAATAAGAGAAATTATTGGTTACAATATAGCTATGGTCTGTATTCTCTCTAAAGGGTCTATATTCTCTATAAAGGACCAGAAATGCCTTGCTTACGTATCATTAGGAAATGCATTAACATAAATACAGCAGTAAGAAGAGGTAATACAAAAGTGTGTAAACTATAAAAACGGGTCAAAGTGGATTGTCCCACACTAGCACTTCCACGCAATAACTCTACCAAAGGCGACCCTATTACCGGAATAGCTTCCGGAACGCCTGTTACGATTTTGACTGCCCAATAACCAATTTGGTCCCGAGGTAAGGAATAACCTGTTACGCCAAAAGATGCGGTCAACACAGCCAGAACCACGCCTGTAACCCAAGTTAATTCGCGAGGTTTTTTAAAACCACCAGTGAGATAGACACGAAATACGTGTAGGATCATCATTAAGACCATCATACTTGCCGACCATCGATGAACTGATCGGATTAACCAACCAAAGTTAGCTTCAGTCATTATGTATTGAACAGAAGCAAAAGCCTCAGTAACGGTTGGACGATAGTAAAAAGTCATAGCAAATCCTGTAGCTACTTGTACCAAAAAACAAGTAAGCGTAATTCCTCCTAGACAATAAAATATGTTAACATGAGGAGGAACATATTTACTAGTTATATCATCTGCAATCGCCTGAATCTCGAGGCGTTCTTCGAACCAATCATAGACTTTATTGAGATAGGTAAACCAAGAGGACTCCCCCCCTGAGAACCGTATATGAGAATTTCATCTCGTACAGCTCAAACAAAAATGGTACAGCTCAAACAAAAACACCCAAGTAATACAAGTAATAGCTGAAACGGATATGGAATAGAAAGTTTGAAACTTCTTAATCTTTTCATTCAATTTTATCTGAAGACACAAAAGAGTAAAAATCCGAAAGCTCTTTTTTGTAGTTGTAATTATAATGCCAAAAAATCAAGTCGGCGCATTCGTCTTTATGTTGATCGTTACAGGCCTCTTGAATCTTCTATTTACCTACTTATTTCTTCTTCTTTACTACTTATTTCTTCTTTCTTCTTCTTTGCTTTGATTTGTTATTTTATGGAATGTGGCTTTATTCTTGTTTTCTTTACTTTATTTTTGCTAGGAATTCTCTTGTTAAGACCCTATGAATCAATTGAAACTTCAGATTCATACCAGAACCGCGATGATTCAATAAAACCTTCAAACTAAGTCCAAAGATTCTTTGAGTAAGAACCAGTGGATCATCGCTTATTCAATGAATAGAATAAATAAAAATACAAAGAAAAGAAAGGTTTGTCCTTTGATCAAAAAAAGTATAAACTAAATGAGAGTTTGAAAGAATAAAAAATCTTTCGATTTATATTTATAAATAATATAACTCCTTCTTTGTTTGCATTTTTTTTTTGAGTCCGGCCGCGAGGTTTGAATAGTAAGTATGAATCATAGTCCAAATACTTTGTGATCCATTTCATATATTCCGTGTTCCAGATACTAGAATGACTATCCGACGGGATAAAACTATCTCGATCAAGATGACAGACCCATTTTCTGTACTATCAATAGGATCAATTATAACAAGTCACACACTCATATTCCGGAAATACAGAAACAAATAAATTTCGCGATCGAACTACCGAAATAGAATGGGCTAAAAAATCCGAGAACTAAAAGTTTCACTTTTTCTATTGAAAAGCGAGGCTTCGTGGTTCTTGTGAATCTAATTCAGTGAAATTCCATCCAGTAAAACGGAAGAATTATAAATCTCCAAAATAATAGATAAGAATATCGCAAATAAAGCCATTGCGACACCCATCAAAGGAGTCGTTCCCCATCCAGGGGCTACCTTACCATATTCCGAATTCAAAGGTTTCAAAAAATCCCCCACAACAGTTCGTCTTGGACCAGATCTAGAACTACCCTCACCGGTTTGTGTAGCCATAAATCTTATTTTGTATTCAGTGAGATCTGTTGACTTTGTATATCATTCCGCTGTAAATAAACGATCTTATCATAGATCCATTGTGATCTTGAAATTATATAATAATGGAAACAGCAACCTTAGTCGCCATCTCTATATCTGGTTTACTTGTAAGTTTTACTGGGTATGCCTTATATACTGCCTTTGGGCAACCCTCTCAACAATTAAGAGATCCATTCGAGGAACACGGGGACTGATTGAAGTAATGAGCCTCCCAATATTGGGAGGCTCATTACTTCAATTGAGATAATGAAAAATCATTTCATTTTTTAGTTGGAACTTTAGGCGGTTCTCGAAAAAAGATAGCGAAAAAAATTATCCCTAGAGTAGATACTAAGAGGAATGTATAAACCAATGCTTCCATAAATTCGATCGTGGTTTACAATTATAGCTTCCGTACCTGTTTATTTGGAATCATCTCCCGAATAAAATAAAGAAAGAAAAAGAAAAGGAAAAGGCAGCGATTTTAATCAAGATTTTTCCAGCAGCCTATGTCAAATCACAAATAGAAAATAGAAGCGAAAAATAACAAAGCAATCTTGCATCAGACTACTTGTCTTCTTGTAGTTGGATCTCCAAGTTTTTGGAATGCTCCAAATTCTACTTGAGCATCCAAATCTGGATCAATACCGGCAAAAACATCTCTGAACAGGGTTCTAGCACCATGCCAAATGTGTCCGAAGAAGAAAAGCAAAGCAAACGAAGCATGCCCAAAAGTAAACCAACCCCTCGGACTGCTACGAAAAACACCATCGGATTTCAAAGTAGCACGATCTAATTCAAAAATTTCACCCAATTGAGCACGTCTAGCATATTTTTTCACAGTAGCAGGATCACTATAACTCACTCCATTGAGTTCGCCGCCATAGAACTCAACAGTTACACCTACCTGTTCGACACTATACTTTGATTCTGCCCTTCTAAAAGGGACATCTGCTCTAACAATTCCGTCTCCGTCTACCAAAACAACCGGAAATGTTTCAAAAAAAGTAGGCATACGGCGTACAAAAAGTTCACGCCCTTCTTTATCTCTAAAGATAGGGTGTCCTAACCACCCAACAGCTATTCCATCCCCGTTGTCCATTGAACCCGCTCTGAATAATCCTCCTTTTGCCGGATTATTGCCAATGTAATCATAAAAAGCTAATTTTTCAGGAATTTTAGACCAAGCTTCTGATAAACTTTGATTTTCGGCTAACCCAGCACTAACCCTTCGATATATTTCTTGCTGGAAGTATCCTTGATCCCATTGATAACGAGTAGGACCAAATAATTCGATGGGAGTAGTTGCTGAACCATACCACATAGTTCCGGCAACAACAAAAGCTGCAAAAAAAACAGCAGCTATACTACTGGAAAGGACGGTTTCAATATTTCCCATACGTAATCCTTTATATAAACGTTGGGGCGGACGGACACTAAGATGGAATAAGCCCGCTAATATGCCCAATGTCCCCGCTGCAATATGATGAGAGGCTATTCCTCCCGGAACAAAAGGATCAAAACCTTCCACGCCCCACGCCGGATTTACAGGTTGTACCTTGCCAGTTAGTCCATAAGGGTCGGACACCCATATTCCAGGACCATACAATCCTGTTACATGAAATGCGCCAAAGCCAAAGCAAGCCACTCCTGAGAGAAATAAATGAATTCCAAAAATCTTGGGCAAATCCAAAGAAGGTTTTCCTGTGCGCTCATCACAAAAAATTTCTAGATCCCAATATACCCAATGCCAGATAGCTGCCAAGAAGCACAAGCCAGAAAACACAATATGTGCTCCGGCCACACCTTCGTAACTCCAAATACCCGGATTTGTTATAGTCCCCCCTGTAATACTCCAACCGCCCCATGAATTGGTTATTCCTAAACGAGTCATGAAGGGTATAACGAACATACCTTGTCTCCACATTGGATCAAGAACGGGATCGGAGGGGTCAAAAACGGCTAATTCATATAGAGCCATTGAACCGGCCCAACCAGCAACCAGAGCCGTATGCATTATATGAACAGAAAGCAAGCGACCGGGATCATTCAATACGACAGTATGAACACGATACCAAGGCAAACCCATGGAAATACCCCTTATATCAACGAAAAATAGACACTATGTAACTTTATTGCATTGGGATACCTCCCCTTTTCGGTGATTCTTTCGGAGAAAGGATTAATATTTGTTCTATTCCATTAGTAATAAGGGAAGAATTCGGCTCAGAAGAAAAAAGAGAAGCAGATCTATTCTATACCCGATAAGTATCAATACGCAATGGGGTTGATCCTATTTTTTATGAATGAACGCATCCCTAATTTGTTCATCATTCAAAGGACCTATTGGTAAGAATTCTCTTTCATTCATTCTGTCTTTCTTTATCTTTATTTTATGGCCTTATTCTATCTATGTATAAAATATGATAAATTCTATCTATGTATAAAATATGATAAAGGCCAATATTATTAAGACCACTATTACGCTTCCACATCAAAGTGAAATATAGTATTTAATTCTTTTTCTTTTCTTTAATGCCTATTGGTGTTCCAAGAGTTCCTTTTCGAAATCCGGGGGAGGAAGATGCAGTTTGGGTTGACGTATAGTGCGACTTGTCAAATATATTGGGTCATATGGGATTCCCCCGTTCTCTCGCCCGATCGAGATATCCTCTGTTTCGCCAAAAAAAGATTGATTGAATTATCAAAAATTTGTAGCGTGAAGTCTAATGAAGTGCAATAGAGATCCATTTCATTTTTTTTGGGGGGTATCCAGATTAATATTTTCAATTAGAATGATTTATGGTTGGCTTGGTTGGACCGATAAAATGAAGCATCCAGGCTCCGTTTAGAAAAAACCCAATTGGTAATATATTTATGATTACCACCTATATCATAATCATAAATCTTTTTTATTTTAAAATGAAAAAAATTTTAATAGAAATTAAGAATAGAAATAAGAGCAATTTCAAACTGTTAATCAATCGAATAATATGAGAAATACGTTGAATATTTGGCGGAAAACGTGAAAGAAAAAGGAATTTAATTAAAATAAATAAAATAAAAAAGTAAATGAAATCATAGCAAAAAGACGTGGTATTAGGTCATTTGTCCTATATGCGCAAATCAAAATCGGGCAGATTTTTCCTCGGAGTAGAGCATAAACCTAAAAAAAATTGAATAAAAAATTGATGAAACCCATTCAGGAACAAGAAAATGACATCGTGATTTGGATTGAATCCCAATGAAAAAAAAAATAGATCAATGAAAAGTTTGTGCGATAAGTTTAGCGAATTTTTTCTATATTATAGGAAAACGGGCCAAAACTCATCTTTCTTTAATTTCATTTTGAATTTCATTTGATTTAAAAAATGTAAGAAAAAGCCCCTTCATTAGAAATTAGAAGTTAGAAAAGGCCCACTAGAAAAAATGAAGGATGGCTTGGAATCTACACATTGATTTTTTTTCGCAATTTTTGTTGAACCGTATGCATCAAAAGGTGCCTGTACGGCTACTAAGGGATACAATTTTATCCTAATCAACCGACTTTATCGAGAAAGATTACTTTTTTTAGGCCAAGGGGTTGATAGCGAGATCTCGAATCAACTTATTGGTCTTATGGTATACCTCAGTATAGAGAATGATACCAAAGATCTGTATTTGTTTATAAACTCTCCTGGCGGATGGGTAATACCCGGAGTAGCCATTTATGATACTATGCAATTTGTGCAACCAGATGTGCATACAATATGCATGGGATTGGCCGCTTCAATGGGATCTTTTCTCCTGGCCGGAGGAGAAATTACCAAACGTCTAGCATTCCCTCACGCTCGGCGCCAATGAGTTTTTTTTATTTGATGGAAAGAAAAAGGAAGACTATGCCTTCGCCATATGAAATATGAATTAGTAAGTAATAATAGCATGGCACTTCGAATTCGATATGAATTTTTTTTTTGATTTCTTTTTTTTTTTCAAACAAAATATTAGATTATGTATCGAAAGAGTAGTATGAGAGAAAGGGCATTTCCAATTTTATCTTAGCTGTCGTGGGCCCATCTCAGCGTCACAAACTTTTTTTCTTTTCACACCAGAGGCTATTAACAATATTTATGTTATAAATATAAAAAAAAGAGTACGAAAAAAAAGACTATTTCTTTACTTTTTTTTTTGAAAAAAAAAAAGAAACTTTGGGATTGCTGAATCACAGACGAAATAAATAATAAATATATAAAGCAACGGAGCCATCATAGTATTTTAACTTTATCCAAAAAAAAGAAAAAAAAGAAGGGTGGTAATTGGATTATTTATTGATCCGGGTCTAATAGACTCTATATTTTCTCTTTTTCTTTTTTCGATGAAAGAAAAAAAAAAGAGAATTCCATTGTAAAGCCGTATGCAATGCGCAAAAAATGCCTGTACGGTTGTTCAATTCTATCTTTTTCTTATTATTCTTTAGCTATTCTTCTCGCCTCATTATGTGAGTTAGAAGAACCTTTTATCATGTTATATCATCAGGGTAATGATCCATCAACCTGCTAGTTCTTTTTATGAGGCACAAACGGGAGAATTTATCCTGGAAGCGGAAGAACTACTGAAACTTCGCGAAAGCCTCACAAGGGTTTATGTACAAA